GACATATCAGTTGGCTGTTCTGCTTCCATATATAACAGCTAATTAAAAACTTAATGCAATGTGATGTGATGTGTAATGAAATTTCACTCATGTTTGACATATACAGTTTACATGCAGAAGAAGGCAACCATTCATTCACAAACAGAAACATCTGAACTTCTGCTTGCCTAGTTTAAAAGGAGCTCAGTCAGCAAGAGTTTCTTTAAAAACAATTGTCAGTTGAGCAAAGTAGTTCAGGTCCTAAATCATTTCCTAGATCAGAGGAAAAAAGGGATGAATTATATTAAAAATCTTTCATTCCCACAAATACTTCTTTATTGCCAATTTTCTGGAAATGCTAATGAACTGCTACTTACCTACTTTATAGAAATTGTAACTAAGCTTGCATGCTTTCATAAGGAAAACAGACATTTACAAATCTTTCAAGGCTGGGCATTCTGTTAGAAAGAGTTGTTTAGTGGCAACTCAGCAAAGATAAATGAGCAGCAATCAGAAAATTTCAAGTATACTGAGCCTTAATAAAATGTAGAAGTATGAACCTTTTTTTATTTAAGGCAGCAAACCGAAGGTTTCCTGTTTTGGGTAACTTATGAAAATTCTGGGAATGTAAAAAACTAATTTTCACAAATCCTTGGAAGACAGGAGGAAGTAGGAAAACCTTTATGTAACAAAAAGTAATAAATTTAAGAAGAGCTCCGAATACTTTTTTCCTTTCACTGATTTTTTTTTCTTTTTTTCACTTTTTTATGCCACTTTCCCTCTCCCTACACCCAATTTGGTGAAGCATTTAAGGCATCAGGCTAGAAACCAGGAGACCATGAGTCCTAGTCCTGCCTTAGGCACATAGCCAATTGGGTGTTCTTGGGCCAGACACTTTCTCTCAATTCTAAGAAGGAGGTAAGAGCGAAGTACTTCTGAAAAACCTTGCCAAGAAAATTGCAAGGTCCAAGGCAGTCTCCGAGAATCAGACACAATGGGACAAAAGAAAAACAATATTCTTCTAGCTTTGCCTTTTATGCTTAGCTCAAACTGCAAAGACTTACCAATTCATTATTGGTCCATCCACTCCCTGCCCAAAACCAGATTCTCCTCAGGTCCATGGGGATTGCAACATGTAGGAATGAATCTCCAACTTCCTTATAAAAGACTTTCTATAGTCCAAAGGACTTTCTGTAGTCCTTTCTGGAGATGTTGAGACATAAACTTGGCACATAGTCTACTGTGTATGGAAATTCTCAGTTATCCAGATCATGGTTGTCCCAAAGGTGCTTTTTCAAAAGGCAACTGGACTTTCTTTTTACTTGAAGATGTTTCACTTCTCATCCAATAAGCTTCATCAGTTCTGACTGTATGATGGGGGTGGGGGGAATGGAAGGATTAATTCTGGCCCAAAACCCTAAGAATTAGTCAGAGCTAATCCTTCCATTCCCCACCACTACCACCATCCAGTCAGAACTGATAAAATTTGAATGAGTTGAATGAGAAGCAAAACATCTTCAAGGAAAAACAAAGGTCAGCTGCCTTTTGAAAAAGCACCTTTGAGATAGTCTACCACCAACATTAGATAAGGGGGGGGGGGGAAATGCCTTTCTATAATGCCTATCTGCTGCAGTCAACAATACGACTGGTATTCTACAGGATGTAGCAGGGATGAATGAACATGTCTATTGAATACTCCCATATCCTGAATACATGCTGTCATGTACTGAACTTCCTCTTGGCTTTCAAAATGCATCATCTAAATACATTCAGGCCATTGCAATAAACCTCATTCCCCAACTAAAGCCCACTCACAAGAGCAATCCTGGGAAATCAAAGACAAGTCCTGAACAGATAAATAATTGTTATTGCAGATCTAGCATTGGTTTAGCCCTGGCAAAAACTGGCTTTTCCAAAGTCTAGAACTCTAACCATCTATATTACCCATATACGCAACACTCAGGATTTAAAATTAATCTCCTACTTTAACAATGTAAAAAATTGGCCACAGCTCTTTTCTCTGGTCTTTGCTGTCTGTTGTCTATTTCTTGCAGTAGCTTATATAATAGTCCTTCCTGTTTCCTTCCTACTTCGCAGATGTCATTTCTGACCTGCATGGAGTTAAATAGGCTTTCAGCCATATCAATATCTAGGAATATTACACTGTCCAGTAATTTATTTTCTTTGCTCAACTCCAGCACTTCATGTTTATTTGAATTATTTGGAAATTTGAAGCAACCACACCGAAGGTAAATTTCAAAACCATTAATCAGTGCAGTTGCCACTGTTAGTCTAGATTAAAATTGCAATCTGGTCTTTATTTTCAAGAACAGTTGCTATTTAGCTGCTCTTTTCAAGAAGAAGCTTTTTGTGAAGGAACTCCCCCACCCCAAATCTAAATGAAATTAACAAAGCAATATGATACAGTAAAGTATTGAGATAAATGTCAATAAGTATCGTAAGTCATTTTCTTAGTAGACTTTTAATTTGAAGCTGTCAAAGAGACAGTCCTCAGTCTAGGCTTCAAGGTTACAGATGCTCTTCTCTGCAACACTGAGCCCAAGTAAAAGGCTGCAATCCTCCATTCCAAGTGATGAAGGCCAATGTCTGTGCCTCATAAAGCCTCTGAATAATGGGAAGTTGTCTTTTTAAAAAATCTAATTCTGCAGAAACAAGAGGAGAGGAGAGGGAAATGTGCCTGATCTGCACTTTTAGCAAAAGGCCCAATGAGTTCCCTGCAGAGTTGGTCTGACAGAGCAATTTCCTGTATGAAATGCCTTTAGATGACTTTTGGTAGAATTCTGTAAGGAATATGCCCAACAGAGAAATCTGCAGGGCTTCTCTCTTCAATGAAATAAATCTCCTCTGACACCAGAATAAAGAAATGAAATCTATGTTCCACTGTGTAGTTATTTTTCCTCCTACATAGTGTATACCTGGAGAGAAATTATTAACTGGGAAACTACAAGGAAACTTCATCATTTTTTCCCGTGCTTTCACACAGATTAGCTAAAGCTCTCTGAATACATACACATAGAAACAACACTGGCTATTAACACAGAAGTAACACTCATAAAGCTGTTTTGCTCCTGGCATTCTACTTTGCTTTAATGAGAGAATCAAGACACCTCATGAAGTTATCTTTGATTTCCATAATATTTCTCACATTGCAATACCACATCATTAAACCTGATAACACAATTCTGAATGGGAAATCCACTGACATCTTAACTAAAACTAGAAAGCTTTTTGGAACAAAATCTAAAGTGCTGGGTAGTATATATAAAAATGTTTATACACAATCATTTTAGTAGGATTTCTGGCATAGGAATTCCTAAAATAATGTACATATTCCTTGACAGCAGTCTACAATCACTGGCTGTCTCAAGTTCTATACACACATCACTCATGTTCTTAGGACTTCAAAGGCACAGCAACAATTGAACCAAGGTAAACGTGGTTCTGCATGTCCACTGCATATGCAAACACCAAAACAAGGAAAAAAGTACAATTGTGTACTACTTATCTTTCTGCATCACATCTGAGTTGGTCCTTTACCCTTTCAAAGATAGTAAACAGACAAAAATAGATGCTGAAGAGCCAAAAGTGCTAGATTTAGAATCAGTCTTCCGAGTCTTTACCCCAAATAGTTTCAACCTGACTTTAATTCTTCCTTTACGGTCCTGAGCATGAAGTTACGAATGTTTAATGTCAAGGATATTTGTTTCTGGAAGCTAGCAATTAAGCTCTGCCCCATAAAGATGCCAATATCAGACTTTTATTATGCATCCAGACAACGTCATCAGCCCACCTTTGATCTCCCATCGCTCTTTTTTTCAGTTCATGGGGCTAACCTTTAGCTAACAGACTGAAAAGAATTATTGTATCCTTCTGCACAATGTGCAGAACTGGATCCCTAGGGGAGAGTGATTTGGGGTCTAAAGTGATAATTATCCATTCTAATGCACAGAAGCATCAGTAAGGCTAGAATCTGAGGTGTACCTCTGGGGCTCCACAAAAGAACACATGTCAACCATGGCTGAAATTACAGCCAAGCACTTTAAATTGTTGTACAACAATAGGTGGACAGCCAGCAGAGCATTTACTTTCCATGTTGGTTGCTGGGTGGGTGGCTAGTTAGTACAAGGAATAGGAAGCAATATTGGCTGTTAAGTAATGGGGACAAGGAAGAGGAAAAAGCAGAGGGAGTATGGCAGACAATCAGGTAGCCAGATGGGTTTGGAGGCTTTCCAAATATTTTGTTTCCCCCAAACCTGGAAATGCATCAACATTTCCATTCACACTCATGCATGCATGCATGCGCACACACGCGCACACACAGGAACCCATCTTGCTGTTGTCAGTCCTTGGACAGGTATTTCCTACACCTGCACATATATCTTTGGGTATGTTTGCAGGGGAATTTATGGAAATTCAGAATGCACCACTTCTGCCATTTTCAAACCTAGAGCTTTTCACTGGGACTGCATGCACCAGAACCCCCAGCTAGATGGAGATTTTGCAGTTCTGGGAGCTAAAGAGTCCAAACACCTCTGGAACTCATCAAAATGTTCTGCCTTTACGGAGTAAAATTGGATCATTCCAAAGGTACCTGACACCAGTTCAAACTTAGACCCCTCGCTGATCACGGCGCACCATTATTCCAATTTACACGCCAGCCGCGGAACTGTCTTGGAGGGGCTACTCCCCGTAATCAGACTCGCACAAGTTCTTATCCGTAAAATGCAAGCTAGCCAACAACGCATCCCCCTCCCCTCTAGTCAGCTTCTCCCAGCCGGCGCTCGGGGACTCCTCTCTGGATCTCGCCCCTGCCTCCGCACCGTTCAGCCGGGGCTCCCTCAACCTAGAAGCAGAGGCTCTTCCGCGGATGAGCTGCAAAAGCAGATTACGAGAATTCAATCCTCCCCCAGGGGGAAAAAAGACCGACAGGACAAAAGGCACGTCAAGTGTCACTCATCGCCACCCCAGTCGGACATTCACTGCAGACTCAGACTTCCTACCCAGTCCACATGCTGGCTTCGCGGCACTTCCAAAGGCGCCACCGCGCCGCGTGCCTCACAAGCAGGACAGGGTATCCATCGACCCTTCAGAGGCTGTGCAAGGACCCGGCGATCGACCCCTTCCCCTTCCTTTTCTTCCCAGCTGCGCTGCGGCAGTCGCTGGACGGTGATGGAAGCCCTCCCAGCCAGCTGCTTGGCTGGCTCCGCAGCTGGGGGGGGGGGGGAAGAGGAGGAGGAGGAGGAGGAAAGCCGGGAAAGACACGTGACCCCTCCGAAGCCTCTCCTCCTCCCTCCCTTTGCCCATCGCAAGAATGCATGTGCATATCCCGGCACGGCGGCGGGTCACATGACCCGCCTCCCATTCACTTCCATGGAGTTCCGTAGCTGAGCTTTGGATCCGGCGAGTCCCGGCGATGCTTCTTTTTGCCTTTGCTTGGCCGCTACCGCTAGTTTTCCTTTAGATCTGAGGATAGGGGTTTTACCTTCTGACTAAGCCAACCCTGCCGCCTTCTTAGGTTTATGAAAGAAGTGGAAGATCTGCTAGAAGTTGGGCGGGACAAAAAATACAATAAATAAACAACTAATGTGAAAAGAGGTCGGGCCACGTTGATGGTAGATCGGCCCGGATTGATACAATATTTATTTTTTATCCGTGCTTTTCGGTGAAACTCAGTAAAAATTCTAGAAAGCCGCACCGTAATTCCCTTACTGCTTAAATAAAATTGGGGGGGGGGAGTTGCATCTGGTGCATTTCAATGTTGAAATAGGGAAAGGGAAGAAGGCTAAAATTCAGTGTTCCTTTAAGCCATATTTAGAAAAACTCATAGTTAGCTGCAAATGCCTCCACAAAATGAGGGGTGGCCTTTCTTTTCCTAACTGGAGCACTTTTAATTACAGCATAAACTGTTTCAAAATGCCTCTGACTTTTCCAAAACCACAAATTAATCAGCTTAATCAATGTTAATCAATGTTTCTTAAAGTAGCTCTCTAAATCAGTCACCTTTCAATTGCTTTTTAAGTCAACATTAATATATGAATTCAGAGTTCAGGCCTGTATTCTGAAGATTATCTCCCCTACTTGGAAGTTGGGAGCAAACTTTCTATTTTATCAGAAGCATACAGGAGTTCCAGAGTCTGTTTGCAAGTTCTGGTTTTAACTCTTCTACACTTCCTATCCTTGATTCAAACTGGTTGGGGAGGCAAAGGAAACTCATGCATTTAACTTGTGACATTGGCCCACATGTGTTCAGTTACTGAGCCCTGGCAGTGCAAAATAATACAGAACAGGTTCCAGAGCTGACCCCTGTCTCCATTAGGGCCTATAACCAGCACCCAAGAAAAGAAAGTGTATAATTAGATGATTGTTGCCCTCATAAATTCATGCCATAAATAAAAAGTACCACAATTCTTTGGTGATTGTCTTACTGCTGAAACCAGCTACGAGTAGCAGTGTGATTATATTGCAAAAACACATCATTCACTTTTGAAACATTTGAATTGTCAAGCAGATTGTTTTCCTGTCCTTCTCAATAGTAACCAAAATCTGTTTATTTTTGCTACCTAACTGGAAAGTGCCATATACTCCAATTATGCTGTATTAATAATAATTAGATTGAAGATAATGCAGGATAATCTTTCTTTTGCCCTTGAATGTTATAATATGGGATAATAAACAGTCATAAGCAGAAGAGAGATTTGAATGTACATGCAAAGGCTTGGAGGACACATATCAAGATATCCTTGAAAGTCCTTTTGCCAGATGTCATTGGGCTACCTATTCATGGAAGTACTCTTGCTTTTCTTTGCACATTTATCATGGAATTAACATAACTTCCCTGTCATATTTATGAATCTATCTTTTAAGAAATTTTAAACACAAGGTTTATTACCAGTACCCTCAGTCCTAAATTCTGCTCTTAAAAAGCAAGATTCAGACTGCCTTTGAACAAACATTAAAGTCATGGCAATCAATTTGCTAATTGGTAAGGACAGAAATAAAAATCCAGGGTTCACAATTATATATCTGTTCTATTATTTCGATTTGAGAATTTACAGGGAAATGTGGACTGCCCCTTTGTTAGGTTTTCCTCTTTTCTTCACAAGTCGTTCTTACTTAGTTTAAGGTGCATTCATATGGTCCCTAGACTAGAATCTCAACAACTTTAGGATTTTCAGATTTTCTGTTTCAAACTTGGAAACTTCCTGAGCATCTTCAGTAAGCCATACTGAGCTCAGTAGTATTTATTTCTATTTAAATGTGAATATAAAATTGAAATAGCAATAGTTTTGTTTCTGCTCCCCAGTGGGATTTAGAGCAAAGTCCCATTGAGTACAGTGGGTCCCCCACCCCCACCCCATGTAACAAAGTATAGAATCAGTGGTGGGTTGCTCCCGGTTCGTACCAGTTCACAAGAACCGGTACTAAAAATTTGTAGTAGTTCGGAGAACCGGTAATAACATTGGCTGGCCACGCCCCAACCGGTCCCTGGCCCGGTCGCCGCTTGCTTACCATGCCCACCTCATCAGAGGCTTTTTTGTTTTTTGTTTACTTTTAAACGCATTTTTTCTACAACCTCTTCGGCTGAAAAAATGCTTTTAAAAGTAAAAAAAAAAGCCTCTGATGATCGTGCGGCTCAGCTGGGATCGTCAGAGGCTCCTAAAAGCATTTTTTTTCTGTAACCTCTTCAGCCGAAGAGGTTGTAGGAAAAAAAATGCCTTTAAAAGCCTCTGACAATTCCCGCTGAGTTGCCTGATCGTCAGAGGCTTTTAAAAGCATTTTTTTCTGTAACCTCTTCAGCTGAAGAGGTTGTAGGGGGAAAAAATGCCTTTAAAAGCCTCTGGCAATCCCAGCTGAGTTGCCTGATTGTCAGAGGCTTTTAAAAGCATTTTTTTCTGCAAACTCTTAAGGTTGTAGAAAAAATGCTTTTAAAAGTAAAAAAAAAAAAAGTTGGCCACGCCCACCCAGTCACATTACCCACCACCACCAAGCCACACCCACAAAATAAGCCATGCCCACAGAACCGGTAGTAAAAAAATTTAGAACTCACCCCTGTGTAGAATGAAAGACTTTATAGGTAATATTTGGTCACATTTTGGGTGTGGGCAACCAGCCTGCATTTGTGGCCATTTACAATGCCCCACAGTCACATGACTCAATCTATTGTGTTTTTTTCCAGTGTTTGCTTCCAGTTTCCAAGAAAAAAAAATGGCCATAATGAAAGGACAATAGGTTTGCTTAACAACTGTGGTGTTCACTGCAAAAAGGTTGTAAAATCAGGCCTGGCCACATGATGTCCTGCTTTATGACTGCCATGACTTATGACTGTACTTGTCAAGCTCAATTATGAGCTTGACAAGTAAGTTGAGGACTACCTGTATATGTTTCTCTATATGTTTTAAATCATGATTGTACACTGCCCATTGTACACCACCCAGAGTCATTTCTGGTGAGATGGGCAAATAAATGTGATAAATAACTAATTACATTTCAGCCAAATCTTTTATATTCACAAATAAATGTGTGCGATCAGTGCATGTAACTATAGAGACGTTTTCGTCTTTCCTTTCCAAACTGCTCTCAATGGAAGAATCTCTAAAATAGGAGAGAAAGAAGAACTGCTTATTTGCAAATCTACTTTGCTCTTTCCTGTTTTTTTTTATTCCAGCAGCAGCAGACACAGTGAACAAATATTTCTCCTTTTTCTTTTGACATCATTATAAATATTTTGAAAGCTGTAAACTTACATCTCCTGGGATTTCTTCCAGCAAGCAAAACATGCAAAGTTTACGCAAGTTCTGGTAATGTGATTTGCCTTGCAGATTTTTTTATTATCCTTGTAGCTCTGCCCACACTCTTTTTTGATTTGTCAACTTCCCTCTTGAATTATTCCTGAAACTGGAATGATCAAATATTGCTCTGAATGGTCTCTGATCTTTCTCACAAGCCTGGCCATGAGCGTCTCATGCTCAAAACTGGAGGGCATCATTACACTAATCATCTATCCTAGGGTATAAGGCCATTTAGATGTTCCCTGTATAATCTCTTCTATGCATAGGAGAAGCAGTGGGTGATCCATGCCTGGATTGAAATATATGTTTAATCTAGGCATGAATTCAAAATGTGTATATGTCAGAGATGTTCTAGGGTGGGAGATGAGAAAAAGCCAAACCACTGGGATGGTTGGAGAAAAATCAGTAGAAAGAGGGACGGGCAGAATTGGGTGCATTAGACTTGAATTCAAGAGTGACAAGGAAAATGGAGAATGGACAGATGAGCTATTTGGTATGCCTTTGTTGAATTCAAGCATGGAAGGGAAAGGGAAGGAAGGCAGTGGGAAGATTGAATATGAGCTGGCTCTCAATGCTAAAGAGGAGGTAAGAGAGGAATAAGAGGAACAAGCCTTTCTCTGTTCTCTCCATAAGACAGAGAGAGAGATTTTATCTCAAAGAGGACTAGGTTTCATTTGCCTTAACCATGACTCTGCTCATAATGGTTCCATCAACTTTCCAACACTTTTATGTTTCATCTGCTGCTCCTACCCTGGATAGGAGATTTCTGTACACAGAAGCCAGAGGCCTCTTCCACAAAGCACCAGATGTTTTGTGATATGGCACTTTCTGGAAGCAATATCCAAGCAAACCAGAGAAAGAATATGAACATGAAGTTTAAGAAGCCCATTAAAAAGTTAATCTCTGATGGGCAGCTGGAGTTTAGTTAACTTGACAGCATGAGAAAAGGAAAAGATATCACCTCTGTAATGGTGGATGATGCTTTGAGAGACAGCAGTGGAGATGAATGAACATGACTTGCTATGCACATGACATGTTTTGGATGCTCTCCTGAAAATAAATCATCATATATGTGTAGAAAGCCCAAACTTGGAGCAGGCTTTTAAGAAAAAGCACAATTGGAGCAGGAAGTAGACAAGCTTCAACTCATCAGACAGCATAGATTCAATAAAGACACATTCAATAAGAACTGACAATGAAGCAGTTTCATTTCATAAAACAAATGAGTGTTTGTTTAATGAGTGGATAATTGTGTCATCCAGAAACAACATAAAAGATACTCTGCACTAATGGAATTCAGAAACAGATTTAATAGTCTTCCAAAAGAAAAAGCCTCTGGGCTTGCAAAGAAAAAAAAAGTTGTTGCCGAACAGGAAATGAGATGGTGCCTCTTTGAAGGCCAAGCAGCATCTGGCAAGGAGACAG